CCCCTCCCCCCTCTTTTTTTTTTCCCCCTTCCTTCTTCCTCCTAACGCGTCTTTCTGGATGTGCTCAATTTCTGGCGCGTTCGATTCTTTCGGCATTAAAGCAGCTAGCAAATAGGCGGCAATTAAAAATGAGGAATTTTAAGCCGCGGAAATGGGACGCCGTCAGTGCCCTTGGGTACAGCAGTTGGGTTTTTTTTCTTCCCTTTCCCCGATAAACATTTTCTACTCTTTCTTTCGGGAATTCTAATTTTTGAGACCAAAATAAGTGTAAATCTGCGCGGCTTCGTCGGTTCTGTGAATTTTGAGGTTGATAGCATTTATGCCAAGATGAGAGCACTGCTGCAGTGCCAGCTTTTATCGTTATAAAACGTACTGACGCCAAGTTGCTGATCGTTTGGTGGAGAATTTCAACATACTGTCTTGTGATACTCTCCCTCCAAAAAGCATAACGGAGAAGTAAGGATCCCAAAATAGATCCACTTTTCTGGGATTGTCTTTGTCTTGCTTTGTTCTGCTCTGAATCAGCTGCAGGGCTGTTGGTGCAGTGTATCTCTTTGTTAGAATCACCACCAGATCTGATTAAGAGGGTAAACAGCTAGCAGCCCTACTTTTGAGGGGCTGATGTTTAACAATAAATTAAGTAGATCTGGGGTGCCTTTGCACTGGAGCCATTTTTGCTGTGTAATCCTTAATGTCATTGTCTTAATAAAATGTCTTTATGTTCGGGAGTACTGCCTTAAAGATGGAAATGTGATGTAAGAGCATGACTATGTGAAGTACTGAGCATCCTGCTGTCGCGAGTAGGACTGAATTGGCATAAAATGTCGTCTTTGCTGGATCGAATCTGCTATAAGTGCAAACGCAATTAAAAATGTATGGTGCTGCATATCGAGCATTAATCTTCTGTTTCAGGTATTGTTAATATTCTGCAGCATTACCTCACTTTCAGCTCGTGAAACCGTATAAATGTGTTAATTTTCTGTTAGAATTACAATGTTACTGTTAATGGAACGTTTGTTATAGCTGCAGTTACTGGAATACATATTTCTTGGTGTCCCACGGAACGTAAAGCAGATGGCGATGACGCTAGAGGTGATCCACCCGGCGAGGATGCGTCCAGAAGCGATGGCCGGCAACTGGGATGAGTCTGGGCTTGGAGCAGTGCTGAGAGGGCTTGGGGAGAGGATTGTAGTGGAGCTCCATCCCCATTCCACTCCTAGCAGCTCTCTGGCCATCCACCTCCATTTCTGCCAGCTGGAATGGACAAGAACCTTGCCAACCGCCCCAGGCCTCCATTGAGCTCATTTAGGGAGAGGCAGGTGTGGCTGTGAGCTAGGAAGAAAACGGGAGCAGGACTGAGGACTGTTGATGCCAGTGCAGCTCCTGTACTGCTTCCTGCTCTAGCCATACTCTTCGAACTGTATCCCCTTCTCTGCTTCCTCCTGTTCCTGCCTGCATGTCCTCTGTGAATCGGGGCATATTTTGGAGGGCCAGAACGGAGAAAGCTGTAGGAGGGGATATGAAGACCTTTTATGGGGAAATGAAGATAATTTTTTCTTACTTTAACAATGGCTAAGTCGAAACAAATGTGTGCATTTGAATGTTGAAATCTAATACTTAATACAGTGAACCTACCAGCAAGAACAGAAATAGACCAGCGGAGATGGGATTGCATGATAATGGCTTTGAATTTGTACTGTATCTTTCTGGAAAACTTCAATAGAAGAGTGAAACTGGTGTGTAACAAATACAAGACTATAATGTAAATTTTAGTAAAATTGCCTGTAATACCAATTCCAGATGCTTGTTTTTAACATGGTAGTTCCTTTTAAAAAAAAAATTTCTTTCCATTAGCACCTGTACTAGAATTTGACTATCTCATCTGTGGAGACTGTGGCAAAGAATTCATGGATTCCTACCTTATGCAGCACTTTGATTGGGCAACATGTGATAATTGCAGGTATTACAAATAATCAGGAGAGGGAAGCTTTATTTTGTGTAAAGATTGCTGGCTGTAATTTAGTTAATTAAAATCATTCTGTTAAATTAAAAAGGTTGTTGGCAAAGAGACATTTTTCAGTAACTTAATACTTTCTGAAAAAGTAAATGGAAGTTGAGCGATAACCTCTGTGTTTTCTGTTATGGAAGTGCAGAATGCAGCTTTGTCTCGTGAGCCTGTCTTAGGGTAGGGGATGTCAGGAGATTTTTACATAACATGGAAACATGATGTCTTGAGAGCAGTTGGCGTGTTTGTCAGCATGGAGATTAATGTCTGGTTGCAGACTAGAGCTATTTGAGAAACTGATGGAACACAGAATACCGGTGTTCTGAAGTGGAGCCAGGATTAGGAGACTATTTGCTGTCCCAGTGAATTAACCCAAGTGAAGTTAGTGTTTGGTCAGCATGAGTGGGCTGGGAGTGTGGCAGCCAAAGGGCAGAACCCCCATGGGAGGTTACTGGTTGACCTGCAGGGTAAGCAGGAGTTTGTCCTTGAGCGGAAGGCAGTCCGTCCTCTCTTATCTTTAATACAGAAAATGCTCCAAAAGCCATTGAGATAACCAGGGTAATCTCGATGCAGCCAACCGCACAGGATTGTAGGAATGAATGGGTGAATGGGAAAAAAAAAAGATCACAGGAGTTCTCTGAGAGCTTCCCTGCCTACTACAGGGAGCAGTTGGGGTGTGCACATGGTGTAGGCAGTTCACAGTCATTAGAGACTAAGTGCTGTGGCATGACGCTTGAGGGTAAGATGGGTGGAGGAAGCACACAGTGGAGAGGGCTTGGAGCCTAGGAGTAGTTTTCCATCTGACTAAGTAGCTCTTGGAGTTGAATGTTTAGAGATTCCTTAGTGCATTAGCTTTTACTGTGAACTTTGAATTCTAGTAAAGCTACATTTGCAGCACTACTTCCTTTATGGCCGTTGCTAGCACTTAGCATTTGGCAAATTGTTCCGGCTCAAGCAATTCAAGTTACACTTCGGTCACGATTGCGTAAATGTAATTTTTTTCATTAACTCATAAATGTTGCTGTGGTTACACAGTTTTTCATTATCTGTCTGGTAAAAGTTACAATCTTTTGAGGTCTTGCGTTTAGAAATGAGTGCTCCTGTCTGTTGCTAATCTGTTTCTGGGATCTAGAAGCATATGGAGTGTGTATATTCTCAGGTGATCTGACCTGTCTCACATTACACATTCTTTCTGTCTTGACCATGTGTCAGCCTTGTTCTGTCCTCTTGAATTGCATCTGGGTTAGGTGAATAACTAAAATTATTCATACTCCTTTTAAGTTTCAGTTACTCCTTCTTGGAAGAAGAGCCTTTCTAGAAAAACAGGCTTCTCAGCTACTCTTTGCTCAAATGGGAGAATTTTAAAACAACTTCAGTAGACCTATGCTGGAGTTTAGCTAGATTGTTGGAATCCGAAGTTACTTGCGTACATTAAAAACTGAGAGGATGAGGGCTGACTGTATTTCAGGAATGTTAGAAGTGATGGGGACTTAGATGTTAATAATGGGGTTTAGGTGTAGCTTTCTTACCATTGTTTTACATCTTCCAGAGATGCTGAAGATAAACATAAGCTTATAACAAGGACAGAAGCAAAAGAAGAGTATCTTCTTAAAGACTGTGACTTAGACAAGAGGGAACCGGTGCTCAGATTCATTGTGAAGAAAAACCCTCATAATTCACGATGGGGTGACATGAAACTTTATTTAAAACTACAGGTATAGAAACTGTTAGTGCATTGCAGACTTTTTACCTTTGCACAACTTTGGTAGCCAAAATGTGTCACTTCAGTTCTGATTTCTGAATGATTTTGTCGAAGCGAAGTGTATTATGTATAGCTTTTGTAAATTTTCTGTATAGTTAAAGAGGAACTGTGGTCCAAATTCATAAAAAATGTCTGTGTTTGGGGGCATTTTAAAGATGTGTATGGACCACAACCTCAGTTACAGGTCATGAAGTGCACAGCCTTTCAGTGCTGCTCTGAAACACGTGGGGCAGCTACTGCCGTGTGTGGCCCTTTGTAGCTGTGGCCTCGTGTTTGCAGCTCTGCCCTCAGAGGCAGCAGGAAAGGCAAGTAGATTTTCCAGGGCTCTAGTCATTTCCTGTTTGCTACTTTTATAGGAATGCTGCTGCTTTAGTTGAATATGCACAAAATTAGAGCTGGGTTTGACTTCCCTGAGTAAGTTACATCTAGCTGATACTGAAAAATCAGCATTGCCTCTTACTGTGGAAGGAATGCTGTGTTTGCAAGTCGAGAGCAAAAAGGCAAATGGCAGGCAGATGCAAGACTGGGTTGACTTAGGTATGTGTACATAGATGTGTATGTATGTCCATCCTGTAGGTAATCAAGCGTTCTCTTGAAGTCTGGGGTAGTGAAGAATCATTGCAAGAAGCAAAGGAACTCCGCCGTGACAGCAGAGAGAAGATGAAACAGAAGAAGTTTGATAAGAAAGTTAAAGGTAAAGCATTAAACATATACTGCACTACCTGAAGTAAGGTACAGTTCTGTTTGTTTGAATTTGTTTCTGCATCTGATTAAAACTATTTAGAAAATCTGCAGTGTGGCAAAATGGAGATTTTCAGGAGCTGTGTGGGCAAGCCCAGAGCAGTTTGGCCTGACCTCATAGCTGAGTATTTTGGGCAGAGGGCTGGACTGCAGATGACGTCCCTTCCAACCTGAATTACCTGTTGTCCTATGGACATGATGTACGTGGCAGAAATCAATTACAGTAGTTCTTTATGGTGTTTGTAAAATTTTTTTTTGTATGATCCAGAATGTGCCATAGAGTGTTCCTGTTCCTTTTCCTGATTTGCAGAGAACATGGATATCCCTTTGTGGCAGTGGGCTATAATTCTGTTATATATATGGCTTCAGGTAGAATAAATGAAGAAAGGAAGTACCTTTTCCCACTGTTCACAGTATTCCCAGCTGCTCTTTTTACTGCTAGTTATCCTTGTTTTTTCCCTGATAAAAGAGTATTTTAGGAGAGTATTAAATGGGTAGAGCTTTTGAAGAATACTTTCAGCACAGTAGTTTTCTGCTAGTGATTTTAAAAAAGACTGCATGTTTGTTTCTTTGCAAGAGCTGTGGCTTACCATGATGTCTGTGCTGCCCATAGCATGCATGCTGCACTTTGAGTCAGCGTTCACAGAGGCAGAAAGCTCAAGCTGGCTGTACTGGTAGTGTCTGGAGGAGGCAGAACATGAGAATGAGTCAGTAACCCCTATCTTGACCATTGGTGTTCAGCGTGCAGGACTGGCAGCAGACTGTAGCCAAGATGCCAGAATTCAGTGCAAGTACAGGCCTTAACATGATGAAGGTTGCAGCCCAAATGGCGTGGCTCAAAACATGACTCTGTTTTGCTGTTTGGTTTGCTTGCCACCCTGTTGCAACATCCGAATAATATCTTGGGCTCAGCTGCCAGCCTGTGCTCTTGCAAACCCACCAACTTCACTGCGGCTGCTGCAAGCAGCAATTCGCATTATTGGGCATAAAGCTTAGAGAATGCCAGGTCATTTGGGAGGCTTACTGTGACCTGAATGAAAAGTACTCCTCCTTGGTCATGTAAAACAATGAGGTGTTTTATGAAAACTTCTCTGCATTCCACCTACCCGCTTTTGGATACCCTTGAATGGCTTCATGTGAAAAGGCAGTGGGCAACATGTACTTAGTCCAAATGGAAAATCTTCTCCTGTGAGATCTCCTGTCAGTGTAGTTTTTATCCATTAAAATATGCAAACAATGGTGAAGAGTATAAGGCAAGTCAGAGCTTTTTCTTGCAATAGTGTATTCTCACCCAGAATTTATGGAAGACAGGCAAAAGCAGATTATCATATGTAGTCCTCAAAAAGTTGGTTAGCTTGAGTTTTATTAACCATTATTTAATGTTTATTAAAATCTTAAAATCTTTCTTGCATTTCTCATCAGAACTCCGCCGTGCCGTGAGGAGTAGTTTGTGGAAGAAAGAAGCTAGCATACACGAACATGAGTATGGACCAGAAGAAAACATTGATGAAGATACATATAAAAAGACATGTACTGTATGTGGCCAGGAATTAACTTATGAGAAAATGTAGTGTTAATCTGTTGTTTTGGTTTTTCTTTTTCAAATTTCATTATCTTTTAAATGGTATTTTGTATCCAAGTCAAATAAATGCTAATTACGAACAATCTGTTGCCAGATTCTGTGAAGAGTGATGTTTGTCAGTTGTAAGAAGCTCTGTACAGAACAATAAGCTTTGGCCTTTAAGTGAAATCTTGGGGTAGAATATGACAAATTTTTCAACAGTTCAGTAAATTGGTCCCTTGTATGCCAGGTTGGTATCATTGTACTTCATACACTGTTGAAACATAAGGTGAACTTCCCACTCCTTGTCTCCTTCCCATAGAGGAGGAAGGCTCTATTTTGTCCTGTTTGGTTTACAGTTCCCATTACTTGCCATGGGTGGGCAGAGGACAACTAGCTGATAAAGCACCTCCTGTGGTGGTTGGAGACAGTGTCATGAGGCAGGTTCTCCTTGCTTGGATTTGAAGAGTCCACTGAAAGAGAATTCTAGTTGGGAAAGGAGTATTCTCTCTCAAAGGAAAGGTGTGTACTCCTGGGGAGGTTGCTGACACATGTATACCATGTTTCATAGGTGAAAGTCCTTAAGTGTATTCTCTACTGCTTTTTTTCCCCACATTTTGGACCAGAGACCAAGGTGGCTCTTGTACAACCTTATCCTTTCCACTTACAAACTTCTGACAAATGCCTGTCCTTGGAGGAGCAGGGCGGAAGTAGCATTCCAAGGTAGATCCTTCTAAGTGCACCTGAAGTTTGCTTTAGGTAGAGCATGGATTTACTTTCAAACTTCTCAAATTGCAAATCTTCAGTTCTTACAGCTGTTGCAGAAATGGCTGAAGCAGAGGAACATGCTCCAGGCAGCTGCTCTGCATTTCTTCCTTTGCCATTGTAAGTAGGGCAGATCTCTGTGAAACCTCTGCAGACTTCTTGGGGGAGCTTGGGCCACTGTGGCAGTGCAGAACTGAAATGTTACAGGAGAAGGTGTCTGGGCAGGCAGGTGATGGTTCCACTAACATGCCTTCACTTCTCCAACGCTGTCCCATCGTCTGCAGCCCTCAGTGGCCTGCCTTCCCACCAAGCACAGAGGACTCAGGCACCCAGCAAGGCCTAGGAAAGTGCCACATGGAGTTGGCCAGAGGGCAGGAGGCAAGTCCTGGCAGAACTTTTGGAGGCAGTTCTCCAGGTCATGGTTCTGTGACTTGGTGCCATCTTGGGTCCCAAAACTCCTCTCATAAGCTGGGTGGTGTGCACTGCTGCCAAATCACATGTGGGCTGGCTGTAGCAGCCACCCTTCAGTAAGGACCACCAGCCCACCCCTGCCTCATCTCCTGCAGCAGCACAGCCCAGAAGACAGGAGGTGGCAAGGGAGAGGGAGAATGTCCACATCAGCACCCTCCTGGCACCTAGCAGCACACATGCTTACCTCACGTGGCTGCGCAGGTGAGGGACGCATGTTGGATCAGCCAGTAGCACATGTAACACCAGTGTAACCCTGCGACAACTGCTTTGCTTCAGTGCCTCCACACTGCCAACCCGCCCCCACCCCAACCAGGTAGGACAAACACTCCCAGTAGCAACCTGCTTCACCTTCATTTATTTTTGTCTTTAATTGTGCATTTTTTTTCCAACCACACCACATTTCTACAGCATCTTTACACTATCCCCATCTCATGCTTCAGCAGTTCCGTTTCTCCAGTTAGCTGCTGGTATCGCTATGCAAGCGTCTTGTTCTCTTTCCTACAGATCCAGTTTCCCAGTCAAGTCAGGTGTAGGCCACCTACAAAGAGGGGAACATTTCCAACAGACTCAAGAAATGTAATCAAAGCCCATGCTTGCCACGGAAGTCAAATCAATTTTGAAAGACGCTGCTATTTGGTTTTAAATCATAGGATTATGCTCAGGCATTTGCAACTGGATCCCCAGCACCCGTATTTGTCAAGGCTCAGAGGAAGTTACAGGTTTGCAAGTTCGAACTGCATTATCAGTTTTACAGAAGTCACATTTATAGTCGGACCCTCACCATTAATTAAAATCAGCACTCTGATACTGATGCAAGCCAGTGGAAAAAACCTATTAAATCCCAATTAAAACCTCTACAGTATTAAATGCTTCTTTAAAAAAAAAAAACTATTTGATTACTCAAGAACGTTAACAGAAAAAGATTTGAAGCAGAAGTCTGTGCATGACTGACAAAACCCTTGCGTAAAGCAAATATACAACAATTAACAGTATACCCTGGAAGAACAGAGGGATCAATCAAATCGGAAAGGGTAAGCAAAGAAAGCAGAAGTAACAGATCTAAGCCTATGAGGATATATCGGATCGCTACAGGCCACACACAAACTTAGGTCAACATTCAAAGTAGAAAGTTCCATTTTTTACCCCTCCTCACTTGATCAGGAGGTCAATTGGTCAACGTACAGATGAAACGCATTACTAGGTATCATACTGGAAAAAATAATTTGTACAGGAACAAAATTACTCAAAGCTCATCACTTGTTAAGCTTAAACTCAATAGCACTGAGTATGAAATTCTTTAAACATTCATCTGCAAAGTGAAGAGACCATAAGGAGCTTGGAAATACACTGCACGCAGACAGCCCTGAGCACCTAAGGCAGTGTCCTTGCCATTCATCACTGCTTACTGTAATACAGACCACTCCGGTTTGGCGTTCATGTATGTAATGTTACTTGCATAACGCAAAACTAAGGCTACTCTATTTTCAGGTTGTGTTTTCCCAGTCTAAGTCTCCTGTGAGATATCACTTAATTTAGCATTAAAATGCTTTCTGAAGACATGGGAGCCATGTGCTGTTGTCACATTATAAAGCAAGGGAAGGGTACCAGATGCAGCCACCGCCAAGCAGTTGTTCCTAAGCCAGATGAGGTGAGGGCACTTGGTTCATCCACTGTCACTGCCAGAAAGATTTCTGGATTCCTGCAGGTCCAGCCCAGTGCAAGCTTGGCAGCCCAACTAGCTACAGGCTGAAATAAAGGAACAAGCTGAATGCTGCCCTGCTCTCTCCCCTGGCATCTGGGGCTGGAGTTCCCAACACCCAGGTAAGGCTTGCAGTACGGAAGTCAAAAGTCTGTTCCACTCCAACCCTTGCTCACTGTCTCTATTTACCAGTGAAGGCTGCTGCCAGAAGCAATTAATGATTTTTTGACCATACTGCAAAAAGGATTGTGTTTTTCAGAAGTTCTCCATGAAGTCCCTCTACAGTTTGTAGCTACTGTAATAAGACACTAGACAATACATTTAAAAAAAACATACTTCAGCTGTATTAAAACCATGTTCTTTCAAACTCTGAAAATCTAGCTGGCTTGGTAATAAACAAATCCATATGCTCTATACTACTTTGAAAGCTTAACTCAAGTGTTTCACATGCCCAAAGTTAAGACACTTTGCCTACGCCATACTAGAGAACTTACCACACTGCTCACTGAGAAGGTGCATCCCCTTTCATACTCACAAAACACTATGAACTATTTCTCATTTCTGCAATGCCTTTAAGGGCTCGGCAGAGGGAACAAATTCTATTGTTTTGGGGTTTGTTTGGTTGGTTCATTTTGGTTTTTTTCTCTGCTTTTTATTTTTATAAAAACAGGGGAGAAGCAAAAATACTACCATGAAGCCAAGAGTCAAACCAAATTAAAAGACAGCAAAAAAAATTCACACTTTACTTCACGTCTATCCCCTGTCAGTCATATCTTGTAAGGCTTATGATGCTTACACAGTTTGCTGTTGGTTAGAGTACTGTATTGTTTTATATAGGAGCACATGAAAGCCAGTTTTAGTCAAAAATTTCTTCCATCCCCATGTCAAGTTTTACTGTTAAAAAAAAAAAAAAAGATTAAATGCCATCAAAGTCCTGCAGACAAGACTCTGCGCATGAATAATCCTCAAGCCTGCAGAGCACAGAACTGCTGAAACACAGCCAGTATGTGGTGGTCCAGTTCAGCTGTAAACAGGAGGTTCTCTAGGGTCACCATGTACTGCTGGATTATCTGGTGATGCTGGCAGATAAAAAACAAAAACAAAACACAAACCTTTATTATTTTCATTTAACTTTATATAAGAACAGGCAGAGAAGTAAAGACATGCAAGAATCACAGGTCAAATGTTTTCAATCAAAATGGCTAAGCACATCTCACTTCCACAACAGTGTAGCTACTGACAAGAAAAAGCATAATGGAGAGCCACTAGTGATTGCAAGAAAAAAGCGTGTGCTGACATCCTGTTTTGAGAAGCACTCTGCTCTCTGTAGCTCTTCACTCCTGGACCCTGAATTGTGTGCAGGACACCATGCAACTGCAGAGATATCCCAGGAGAATCCTGATATTTGCTTTCCTCTGAAGCCACATCTACTACCAGGGAAGAGTTCAGCTCAGGGGAGAATTATACCACCACTCCCATTCTTCAGCATACCTTCTGATCGCACAGGTATGATTTTCTATTACCATCACTTTCATCCAGCCACCTGTGCTTGTTACCTGATTTAATACAGATTTTTAACAGATATTTACACATCTTATTAAAAGGAATTCTGCAATATTTTAATGCACTTATTTAAAAGACATCTATTTTTAGTATCCTTGTTTGCTCCAACTTTGCCCTTACTATAAGCACACAGTTAAGAAGAGCTCAGCGACATTCATGATCACATCTCGGTATCTTTTTGCAGTATGCTCACAGCGTGGGAATTAATCAAGGACCAGTCACTCCACCAGCCTGTGGCAGCCATGTGGCCAGAACTAGGGAGTTGTGACCCAGCCCCACGCTAGCCTTCAGAGAAGATGTGCTGCTGCCACCTACTGCTGCTCTCACAGACTGCTCCATTCTCCAGCCACAGAGCTTGCCGACCCAGCACGTCCCTGCCCACAGCCTTCCACACTGAGAAATGAAACTTACCTGCAGGAAGATCTGCTGCAACCTCTCTATACAGCTCTTGTACCAAGGCGTAAATACATCAATTCCACCAGTCTCACAGCGCACTAAGTGCTCAGTTAACAACATAATGAAACGCTGCAGGAGAGGAAAAAAATACTTAGTCTGATCAAATGAAAGCAGGATCCTAACCTCAGGTAAGCAGATCTGGGCGACAAAAGTTTTGAACAGCAATGTGAGAATATTTATTTTGCTTGGCAAATACTGAATTTAGTAAGCAAATAAAATCCAGTTACCCTCTGGTTGTTCAGGAAACTGTATGCTAGCAGAACTCCTATGTTCCTGAGCACTTGAAACTGAAGAGATCCTGCTCAGAAGCAGTCATTGCAGGGGATGATCTGGATTGACTCTAGCCCACAGTAAACCCATCAACCCCTCCCCATATTCTTATTCCAGGAAGATGCCCAAGATAAAAATGACACTGAAAGCTTATAAATCCAGTAACTTTAAAACCTGAAAGTGAAAAGAGACTTTGCCCATCATTACCTGGAATATAACAAGAAAGAGATTCTTTTGCTCGCTCTGGGCTGACTCTACTTTTTCCTGCAAGCGCTCTATCTGCTCTTCTAGCGGTCCATCTTCCCGATCGCTGCTTCGGTCATCGTCGTCATCATCATCATCACTGTCTCGCTGTAAGTGACAACATCACAAGACTAACTAGCAACCTGACTACCTGTGGATGCTGTTAATGCCCTCTGGTTCCACATGTGAAAAAGTCTGGAGAACAGCAACTGAAACTGCTCTGTAGCTTGGTAAGTATTGTATTTTGAAGGACATTTACTTTGAGTATAATTCAGAAAAGAAATCTGGAAGGAAAAATGGCAACATGGGAAAGCCCTGAAAAAAAATAACAATCATGGTTTCAGAGAAACCACCGCAAGCTTAAAGATTGATTAGTCTTTTATTTAGTGGAAACGCAAAAAAAGATAATACCCCCACTGACTTTATCATTACCAGATAATAAACAGCTTTTAAAAATAAATCTGGCAAAGATTTTTTAAATTGTGTCCACTGCAGCACAGCAGGTAATTCCATCAATGAACAGTTCTGAAATCTCACAGCTCTAAAAAATAAAGCTCTTTGTGTAAGAACTCAGATGACCCCGATTGGTCAACGCAAAAGAAAGACTAGAGACTGTAGCATAGGTGTTAAAGCAGGGACTCCCTATATCCATGATCAAAGGGATGGTTCTCAGGCTAGAAAGGGTCAGCATGGAAACCAAACTACTAACTAGGAACATGGCATGTCCTCATTGCCTCAAAACCAAACCAAAACAACACAACAACAAAAGCCATCAAATATTCATAAGCACCAGACTTGGGAGCTCCTGTAACAAAGTCTTACACAAGACTACAAGGGATACAAGAGGAAAGGCAGAATCTGATGGATAACAGTACATTCAACTACAGACACTGCTTCAGTCTCATAAGATTGTTTCTGTGCAAAGACACTCATAAATTAACAGCTCAAAACTTCAAATATTTATAAAAGGAGCATATGCAACTTGTGACAAATATAGGGCCATGTGTTAACTACTGCACAGCACATGAAACTCACAAATCAGAAGATAGTTACAGCTCTGAATCAGCATAAAAAAATAAAAATGACTTACCAGAGCAAGTGAGAATTTAATTGTATTCTCTCTATAGGAACTTGCTTTTTTCCCCCATCTACAGAGATTTCCTGAACTAAAAATGCTAAAGGACCAATAGGACCTAAGAGAAAGCATATAATCCTTGGACTCATTCCATAGTAAGGCAATCCACTTCATGATGGGAACATCAAAACTTGACGGCTTACTTCCTCTAAAAGAAATGATCATGCAGCAGAGCAAAAGCCTGCAGAACTACTCACTGTTGCATGCAACTGTTTCCTCCTGGCAAAATAATCATTTAAAGTACTCAGCAATAAAGAGCTGCAGCAAGTACAGGAATGAAAACACTGGTATATTTGTTTAGAGATGCCAGAGAAGGTCTTTGCCTCACAGTAAGATCAATGACTGCATCTAGGTCTCCAATAATCACGGGCATTTATTAACAGCTGATCAATGTAGACTGACGATGCAAGCAATTACGATGGCTGTGGCTGGGAGTGAAGAAAAGACGATGAAGGGGCTGGCATGAACCAACACTGGCAAACTGTGAGGTACTAGCTATCTCTCAATTGAAACTTCTGGAGAAATTACTGACCTGTGCATGTTCCTTCAAAAACCATCAGCAGCCCCTGTGCCATGTGCCAAATTCTGACATGAATTTTGTTCAAGGTTCTGGAGCTAGCTAAGGGTTTTATGCAGCTAATCATACTCACAGACTACACAGAAATCCTCTCTTACTTTCTGCAACTCTCAATATGTCTATAAACTGACTCAATTCTACCACAAGTAAGTATCGCATTCAGCCAAGTTTCCTTGGGCCCTGTCTTTTGCTGCTGCCACAGAAAACACTCTCGCACCCCATTTTACAGTCCCACTTGGGACAACAGAACACAACAGTGGCTACTTGCTTATCAGTTTGTTGTATATAGTAACTCAGACCATGCAAAGGTATTCAGAAAAATAAGCTGGAGGAAGGAAGTGACAGATGCCAGTGTCAGAATCCAGCAGCATCCATGAGAAGAACAGTAACAGCCAACTTTTCAATAGCAAATAGCTGTTTCCGTGCACTTCTGCATGGAAGCCACAGGAGTACTCTTTAACAGAACTTACTGTAAATAAGTTGTAACTGTTCTTATTGTTATCTAATAAGGTAATGGGAATCTAGATTAGAAGGCAAGTGACAGGCATTCTCAAATTGGAGGAGAAACTTCCGAGAGCGCGCTTGAACAGAGCAAATACATGTGAATTCCCTTAATGACTTCACTGAATTCTTAGGTCATAGCTACCATTAGAAAGGTGGACTGAGAACATGCATGCGGTTTTTGATGTCTTAGTGCTACAGATGACCATATGTCTGCAGACATGCTTCCTGAAAAACATTCAGTCCTTACCAAAACCAACTGTGTGTCAGTCTGGCAGCATGCAGGTTTGTATAACTTAGCTTGACATAAGTAAAAGTTACAAAAAAAACCCTCACTCTTTTGTGCTGCCTGGCCAATCTTGCCTTGGTCTCCTCCAGCTCTTTGTGAATCTTCAGAACATGCTTGTTCATCTTACGAATTGTGGAATGTAAGATCTCCCAGATATAAAACCTAGGAAAGACACAAAGCTCAAAACACTACATGACAGACTACTCCAAGATAGAAAACTACATGTTGTTTCTTACAAAAAAAATGTATCTGGGGGAATTTAAAAAAAAACCTTAGTATCATCTAAGACATCTATTAAAGTGAGCAAACATTCAGCATACAGGAAAGCATACCTGTAATATAAGAAAGCTTAACAATCATTTCATTCTTTACTTTTTGCAATACACTTCCAAACCAGCATTTTATTTCATACTCATACTACAAGACTACCAACATCAAACTGACTTCTCAGTCCAAACACTTCTGTTTTCAATAAGCAATGTATCAATGGTGATACAAGTTATATACCTCAACCAAAGACCAGGACCACACTCAGCTAGCAGCTATATAACACACAGCAACAGACTTCGCCTAGAAATAGTTCCAGTGGTGTTGTGCTTCAACAGGCCTAGAGACTACTTGCAAAATTACATGCTAGCAACATTCATGCAGTGTGATGTAAACATTCATACCCCAACTCAGAAATAAAAACGCTAAAGTACGTATTTTGTAGGAGCAGCAAAAGCTTAATTGTACTTTTTTCTTCTACTACTCAGTTTTCATAGATTAAACTGTGTACTGGCCACTTAAAATAGTAATTCAGAGGCAAGTAACAACCCAAGACAAATTCTTGTTACCTAGTAAAATCATGTGCAAGCTCTGAAGAGAAGATCCAGTTTGCTACTGCAGCACAGTCAACAATTTGTGTCCGAATCATTTTGTCCACAAGCACAGCAATCATCTGTATTTTGTGAAAGACATCAGAGTAATTCAAATAAGAAAAAGGCTCACTCACACAATCTGTGTAAAGTATTTCAGCCTCAGATAAAACCAGAGATTGTTTGATGCAACTCTACCTTAGTGATATTACTGGGTAATTTCAAATACTTCAGGAAGCTGGGTTGTCTAGCCTAAAACTGCTCAAACTAGGGGATCTGTATCAATTACGCAAAGCATTCTGATACTGTTTAATGACCTTTTCTATTTTCTGTGAAAGTGACGGATCATTCTTTGTTTACATACTTCCCTACAAAAGCAAAAAAATACAAACATCATAGTTGGAAGTAAGGCATGAGAGACATAAGTCCTAGTATTTGACATCAAAGTACTCAAACACGAGTATATACACCTGTCAGATCACCATAAAGAAGGAGCTACTGTTAGCCTACTCTCCTTGAACTGCAACAGTCTTCAAATGTGACAATAAGCTCTTCTCTACAGGACCTATTCATTTCAGGGCAGAGCCAGTGCTGTGTAGTCAATGTAGTAGCTTGTGGTAAGCTACAGGCACTGCCATCATTCTGGGGGGTTGCAAGCAATCTAGCAGGCAACTGCGGAGAGGAGTTACTGACTAAAGCAGTTGCAAGCTGTTCAGAAAAAAAGGCTTATCTTAGTTACTCATGTGCTTGAATGCCACGGTATCTAAAAACCACAGCCTGCACTGTATTTATCCTTACAACCACCCATTGTCAAATAAGGAAGTGTAACGACGCTCCTTTTAAGGAAGGAAAATTAAAATAACTGAATGAATCATACAGAAGACTCAGCACTCAATTTTCAAGTCCCAGGATAGCATCCTATGCTCTATTTGTCTTTCTGTATTGCCAGGAAGAATTCCCAATTACTTAGCTTGATCTTCCTAGAAACACAGACCTAGGATTTTGGGAAAGCATTTCCTCTCACTGTTAAAGTTCCTCTTTGTAAAGTCACTACTACAACCTTACTTAGAGGTCCAGGGACTAGTGACTCCTATTGCTAAATCGCTATCTGCTGCAGAGATCCCTCATTAGCACTATATGCCTTGTGAATACTGCCAATAGTCTGAAGCAAACCAGACATGGGAGTAGGGCGAGCAGCATGAAAACAGACTCTGGACAAGTGCCTTGCTGTCCAGGCACCATTTCTTCTCTGTGCCAGGGAGGTTGTGGACTCAGAAAAGAAAATGCTTGACCAGAAGCAAGAGACTGAAGTGCAATAAATGCAAGAGAGGAAAACATAAGTTCCGTGATCAAGTAGAACAGCAGACCTTCATAACTTCTGCACTCAGTATTTTTTAAAGCAATGTTGATCTATTCATAAAAATCTAACATGACTATTTCGTCTGGGTTTGAAACTTCCATCTCAGTTTGGTCACGCTGCAATACAACGAAATGAAAAGGAAGAGGATACAGATACTAGATTGCAGTAATGTAATTTCTTCTGATCCAGTTAAATGGAAGTAAAAAGTAGGTAAGACTGTAATCGTCACATTTTCAAGGTCAGTAATTTGGGTAGCAAGTTTAATATATTAAAAAGATACTTTTTTTTTTTTAATATTTCAACTGTACTTAGAAGAGAGGCAATATCTTGCATAGGTATCTTTTAGGTGCTCCATTTTACCCCTAGGGAATGGACCACAGGTCCAGGAGCAGATGCAAGGATTATCTCTTGTTCTTGGTGGCAGCACTTCTGAAAGTATGGCCTATGCAGCTGTAAGGTATAGTCCATTTTCAAGCACAATGAAGTGCAACACAAACATACCAGTAAGGAATATGTGAAATAATTAATGCAAGCAAATTCAGCTCGAGTTCCTTATTGATTTCTATTTATAGTAGAATGACAGCTGAGGGAGAAAACAACTGCTGTGAAGAAACTGAACAAGCTTAAACAACTGAGGCATTTTTCATAGGTCTTTTAGGGTGTTATTTCCTCTGGCTCAAGAATGAACATAATCATGCCACTGTCAGACTGATCTGAACAGCCACTGACTGCAGCTCTACTGACTCTGCCCACGCACAACAGTGACTCCAACATGAGCTTTGTGGAGTTAACTGTATGGCTTTCACTGGCAACTGGGAAAAAAAAAAAAACACAACAGCCCTAAAAACCCCCAGGTCTCCACATTTCTAAGAATGTGGCCTGCTTTTCACACAAGATCTACATCTTATATCAAATGACACATCTACACTGTTTTCCAACTTTGAACAGAAACATGATTTTAGCAAAGTTACTCTTTTGTGTGACGAACAGCATAGTATTAACCTGAATCAGAATGACAGCCCTTGCCCTCCCACAATGAACTCTGAGGAAGAGGTGGCCTGACTGATGGTATATATTTTATGTCAAGCCTTCACTTTAGCCACTAGTAACAACAGTAAATACAATCTGAACTTTCTTTCAAATAAGATTACAATAGACAAGTTATTTTTAAAGGATATAAAGCAAACTGTAATATTTATTAAATATGACCTCTGTGAGTTGAAACTCAAAGATACTTGACATTGCAACCTCTTACCTGTGGATGATTCTTCCAAACCTCATATACAACCCTCAGAATATGGAGTTTCCCCTCATCACTTTCAGCAAGTGTTTTGAAGACTTCATGAAACCTTTTAATAGATGTAAGTAGTCAGTGGAGGGGTTGGACTCAGGTCAAAAGAGTAGCAGATACAAGACAAGTGGTTTAGCTTGGCCAAAAGAAAATTCTGTGACTATCTGCTGCAATTCTTGAACAACTATTCCCTGGAAAACATAACCATCCCGAGCTAAAATAGGCTACAAAAACATGATGGCTCCTAAAAGCAACTTAAATCTTAGTGGTAAACCTACTCCCTGAAGCTGGGCTACATTTCTCATACTCCTAAAAGCAGGAGGCACGTTCATGCTTCATGTGCTCATCTATACCTGGCTGGAACAAAATTTGCTGTCTTTTGAGCCTTAGACCTTCCTCTTGATAGGTGTTTCCACACATTCTTTAGACACTTATCCCATGTCTCTTTTTGAAGGAAATGCTACTAAAAACCTCTATTTTAGCAGAGTTACACTGACTGCTACAGAGCATTTAAGATCCAGCTTATTGTAACATTAACTATAAAGTACAAGAGGCTCTTTTGATCTCATGGCTGCCACTGTTGGTGTACAGCACTGAAAATACCATGACCCTGTGTACTCATATCACCCTGCCTCTTGTACTACTGATTGCAGGTTACTACCTACAGCTTCTTATGAACATTGAACACCTCTATAAAGCTCCCAGGTGCATGTTTTTGTAACAGCTTTATATAACTTTAAAAACAGAGCCAGAAATAACTCATTAAGATACATGTGACTACCTTTCATATGTCAAGATCACTCAAGAGAATTTTAAACCACACAAGATTATAAATTAGTTATTTTATCTCATTTTGCTAAAAAAGGTGCAGTAAATTCTTTAAAAGTTAAAGCGTACCTTTAAGGGATGCACTCTGAAGTGTTTTAGAATGGGTTTTACCATGCTTTGGTAGAGAAAAAGTTTACAGCAGACTGCTTTGAAGTTTCATTTTTTCTTTCTTCATTTTTTATACAGATGTAACTGTTCTAGAGTCATAGTCATAGCACAAGACACTGTGGTGGCAGCTACCCAGTCATTCAAATGTAAGGAGAAATCCTTTTTCCTCACCTTAATCAGCAAATGAGTAATTCTAAAATGGAGTAATGTTCTAACCCTGTCTCATTTGTTTGTCACACAGCTGTAATGTACACATTTCTGTTAATTCCATTCATGTATATAACCTAGCATTTACACTGCCATTCCTTCAGTCAGCAGTGTCACTAGTTCTCTTAATCATATTGCACTGCGGAGCACCTAAAACATTGCTGAAGTTTGCAGTCCAGTTCTTTTATCATGCATTTCACTGTCAGAATTAAACAGTTCTGTAAGCCCTTAAATAATGCACATATTACACTTACTTTGCCAGGGCACTGAAGGAGTGGCTGAAAGACTTTGCAGCTAGATGGAGCAGAGTCTGAACAAAGACTTCTATTTTCAGAGGGTTGAAGGTAAATCCTTCATCTGCAAGTTATTTAAAGTCGAAACTGTAAGTACTCCAAGTAGAACACATAAGCTACTCATAAAACTGTAGAGATAACTTATGGTTTTAACTAATTTCACAAAAAGGAGTTTCATCAACAGGGTTTTGCAAGGCTGAGCAGGAAGCTAGTAAAGATTTTCCAAAATGTGCACATCTTCAGGCTCCCATTTTGCCATGGGGAAAACATACAGAAAAAATTCCATGTCAGTAAAAGAGCTATGGGAGACGCAGCCACCCTACCAACACTAACAGCACTGGCGGACAGCAGCAGAGAAAGACAGCCAAGGAAACTGCAGTTACGCATCAGGCTGAAGGCCTGGCAGACCATAGAAGGGAGAGTGGATGAGGAGAGGGGAAGATAAGGATGATTAGAATACAGAGGTTGGCTATTTATGACATGGGAGAAGGGTCCAGCAAGTGTACATAGCAAATATGGGTACTAGGGGTGAACGGTGTCAAGTCCCGCTCCTGTAACTGTGGCTACCTGCAACTGAAGACAGGCAGGAGGGAGAGCACTCAGTAGTGGGTGATGCCTAAAGTGAATTAGGAAACATGACAGTTTTCCCAGGGCAAAAAATGGACTGTTGCTGCTCTCTGCTTGCATAACAGAACATCTGTAAATATTACAGAAACACTGAAGCTGTCCCCGTTATGAAGATAATTTCTTAATTCTTGATCTCACGCTCCTTCTCACCCCTTAAAGCACACAGGATTTACAAACCAGTGCTGTCTGTGGTTGCGAAGCTAAAAAGAATGTGAGTGGTATCCCATCATGAGTTTGTATCTATGGAAGACTAAAGCCAGCGTGCTGGCCATCTCATCTATCATGGGAGTGCATAGAGGGGAGGGAATCACAAGCACTGAATCTCAGGGGTGAGGATAACAGCATTAAATGCACTCTGTTGCTGAAGACAAATGAAATGTTAAATTTTTTCATGCTACTTCTGTCAATATTCACAAGAAAACACATCTCAAGCACCAGGTTACCTCTGTTAAGAAAAATAGGCCTGCCTCTGCATGCAAGATGTTTACAACAAACCCTAACAATGGTGTATTATTTCCAGTTATGGATAAATTGAAACCAGCTATTAGAAGGAAAAGCATACAGTTCTGTTAACCACCACACCCATAGCTCCAAAGGATGGTAGATTAGTCCACACACAAAAGAAATTACAGCCTGCCAAAGCCTAACAACATGTATCTTACCATCATCATCATCCTGGTTAGGATTAGGCACATCTTTTAAAATACTGAAGATTTCATCATTACTGGCCTTATTTTTAATTGCGATTGTTAAACAGAGTGCCACAGTATATCCAGGAAGAGACCCTAAACAAAAGCAAAGAGGTCAAAAATATGTCAAAGGCAAGTATTTTTAACATCTGTTTGCCTCTCAGAGAAACAAGTACACTTCCCAGCTACAACTAAAACTACCTGCTTCCAACATCATTGTCCACATCACTATTCTAGAAAACTGCTCAACATGCTTCCTGGTTTTCACATTAAATTCAAAACTTCCAGTGGAAGTTTTAGAGTAGAGGTCAGGTAATCACCCTCCTATTGAACGCTCTACTTCAGCTTCCACCAACTTCCTAAAAATAAAATATTTCCTCGTTTATCCTCATTGTATCTTTGATGATGACACTTTTATGCTTAGGATTGTCTTTATACGGAGTAATAAAAGGAGTAACAAGGTATTTCTCCATCTCAATCTTCACATCATCTGCCGCATCTGTATGCTTCATTAAACAAAGCTGACTGGTAAAATCTTCTACTGTTTCATGAAGTTCAAAAAATAAACCCACATTATGACTTCAAATGCTGACTTTTGCATAGTATCGTGCCCAAACAGGGGAAATAGATGAATTTTCCAATTTTAGACTTCTGGCAAAGAATGCCGCAGAACACCACAGCCACTTCAGCAAGAGTAATTCCATGTATGTGGATTTTCTTTTCTTCATAAATTAACATGGACTATTACATTACAGAGATATAGGCTTAATATATATTAATTGTTCATGTGAAACATATTTACCCATGCATATTTATTTCAGCTGTATTCTTCTTCATGAAGACAACTGATATTACAGTCAACTTGGTGTGGTCCCTATCTCTGAAACACTATTTTCTTCAACTTGACCCATCAGTAACTTTAACACTTACTATTACTTTCATCTCCATACTTGTAAATGCACACTGGATTAGCAGGACTGAGGACAGAAAAACTTGCAGGAACAATGTCTATTATTCGCTGATGGTAGGAGAGTCTGGAAATAACAAGTTTCACAGCAGTAGAGTCAAAATGGGAATAACACTAGGAGTAATTCTAAAGTAACTACTTTATAATGGTTTTCCTGAATTTAACTTCCATAGGAAAAAAAAATCAGGATGTTTATACAATAGAATGGTAGTTTCTGCTGGTTAGTAAGAACTAAGTAATCCAAACTTACTAGTAGATGCTTTCTATCTGAACTCTTCGACGCTAGAGTTTCATCCTCATACAATTAATTTAGCTTGTGCAAAGATTTAGATTGCCTGATAGGATGTTTTATGCAAAAACCTAAGATGTGCTGCAGAAAACTGATAATACATTGGTATTCAAAGCAGAAAATACATTAAACTGGATGTCTTCATTTTACTTTCCAGCTTATTTCACTCCTCCAAAAGCTTAATTTTGCTACCAGAGTTTTCAGTGAAATGGAAGAGTGCCACAGAAAAATTGCATTCATTTTGCAGCACAATACTTTCACACTTCCTATACTGAATTCACCCAAAAACCGACGAACGTTTTCATGTAGAATGCTGAATAACATTGGTTTTTTTGAACATTTTGCTCTTTCTCTCTCCTATATCCCTCCATCTCAACAATTTTAAGTCCAGCCTTGATTGTGTAGTCTTAGCTGTTGGGATTAGGGGTTTTGTTTGTTTGTTTGGAGAATTGTCTGTTTTAAGGTCAATGAACATCAGAGGCACACAGAGGAATCAAGATTAGATTCTCAGTTGTTAGTGTAACTAATGATCAGTTCCCCCTGTTTCTGTGAATGCTGAATACTTTCCAGGAATATTGCCTAAACTTTACTTCTTCCCACACCTATGGTGAAGCACGTCTTTTTGTAGCTACAGATGTGCATACCTAGGACAGACAGCTCACTACTATCTGCTCCACCTGTTTCTCCCTCTCTCTAAAGTAGTGTTCTACAACAGGTAAACCAGACTAAAGCCATATGAACAACAGATATCTCTTAAATGAAACTGAATTGTAAGAACAGACATGCCTAAAAGAAGATTCAAGTTAAAAAGAATCTGACAGTATCCAGAAGCAAAGATCAAACTTTGGCTTGAATGCAATTATCAAAAGATCTTACTTACCGCATGCACTTCTCCAAAACCTCTCTCACAAATTTGGGTTTGGGCTTTTCCAGGTCCTGAGTAAGACAATCTGACCTATCAAAGGACAGAATGCAATAGCTTTTAGCAAAAGAATTTGTCCATTAGTCTCTTTTTGGCTTGGTCTAATAGGTACAAAACAATCATGGTCTAAGGACAACTGGAGCACTTAACACTTAGTTTCACAGTATAGGCATTTTTAAGACAATAGGGTAAGTTTATCGCCATTTCCATATTAGCCATTAACATTCTTGGAATCCCATCCCTGTGTGATATATTTTCAAGTAGGTTCCATTCCCCCACCAGATTAAAAATAATTTGTGCTTACAGTTAGCTGGCTTTCCCTTTCCTTAGGAAAAGAACCTTGTGTGATTTCATAGTCTGTTCCTCCCTCACACTGATTTCACTGAACTTCTGGCTGATTTCAAATGCATTTCAGATAAAAAAAAAAAAGAGTCTCAAATACAGTCACTTAGTGAGATTTGTGAAAAAATGGCAGATTGTGAGAGAAACTCACAGAAAGATTGCCATTAAGGAACATCCAGGCAAAGAAAAATCATCTCTTTGAAGACTGCTGCCTAGTTGGTCAACATGGCTGTATACTAGGATAGCCAGCAAGCACTTAACCCCAAGAGGACAAGACAAGAAACTTAAGTAAAGCCACAAAAATGTATCACAAGAAGGGCTGCGTCCCTCTCCACAAAGACACTTAGGCTGATCAGCTATGGAAAGCATGTACAGTGGCAGGGTGCGGAAGTTACCATAGGGAGGACTTAACCCTGAGGTGATCTCTCTTGCTACATGGGTAACTCAAATGGAAAGCTCATGGGAACCTGTGGTTAGATATTGATAGAGTACAGGGAACTCCTGCTAGAGATGCGAGTTCAAGATTTGGCATGGTAAGAACAGATGGCAGGGCCAGTTGATGGAACTTTGGGTGCTAGGATTTCACAGGAGGGAAACAGATCACAAGGCCTAAAGGATAAAGGTTGTAATGAAAGGTTTAGGGTAGGACAGAGAGCAAGATTACAGAATGTATATAGGACGCAAAGAGTCAAGGAAAATCATTAAAAGTAAATTGGGAGCCATTTTGAAAAACTTGCTAGCAACTGATTGAGCGTGCACGACAAATTAAATCATGTTTCAACCTCTACTGTTTAGGGAACACTTGCTGTGGCTTGAGACTGATCACCAAGTTCGCCAGGGACAATACAGTGACTAACGAGATTATCCTGATAATCTACCAATGAGTGGTGGTGAACAGATTAAGAAAGACCTCTGAAGGAAATTGCTGGAGGAAAGCAATTAACAGGACCACTAGGCTGAGTCTGAAATTTTAAGGTTTTCGCAGTATCAGGGTTTGAATCAAAAGGAGAGAAACTTACCAATCTTCCCAGCTCCAACGGAACTGGAAGTTGCTCAAGTGGTGAGAAAACCAGTTAATAAATCTTTATTGAAAGAAAAAGAAAGGTCCATTAAATGCCAGAAGTGCAGGAAAACTTTCCATTGAGACTTTCCTATAAATGCATTCTACTTTTCAAAAGCTTAAACTCTAAAGCTATTACAGCATTAAACAGGAATTTATGTTGACAGATACAAAGGACTGAGTTTGGACAGTCAGGAAGAAACTTTTATGGACAAATAGCCTGTCATGTTCTGTTGTTTCATATAAAGAGATGACCTATTAAACTAAAATGTAAACTCACCGTGAATATGCAACTTTCACATTTTTCATGAGTAATTAACACCTCTCCTGCACAATGCAAACTTCACTCAAAGGGCAAAATGACCACCACTCTCCTCTGGGTGGCACATACGCCATTAACTCCACTTCCAACTCACCTTCCAGATCACTATGGAGGAGCCAGCATAGTAATCAATAATGGAGTGCTATGCGACTATGAGCAGCTTTGTACACGGAAAAGATGTCACCAATCTTAACTGTCCTGTACAGACAGCTAGTATTGTGACCTCTGGGGGAGTGTTTCTGGGAAGGAGAGGCAAGCAGTCAGTCATCTACCTGCTCTTTAGATTGCTCAAAGCCAGAGCCCAGAAGACATTTTGAATAGCACCAAGAAGCTCTAACAAGGATTTCTGACAACTCTTTCCACAGCCTCTTCATATTTCCTGTACATTGGATACTGAGGAATATTTTGTATCATCTCCAAAACACATTTACCTGTCCACACATGTCGTATTCATTGTATCCAAACGCATGTAGAGCATTTCTGTGGCTTGTGCAAGCTGAAAGTTTCTCATTAAGGTTAACAGAAAAGCATTAGATAAGTCAGATGTTTTTCCTTTCAGTTTTTGAACAGAATGTCATTAAATTTCTGTATTGAAAGCTCCCTGGTCTACTCCAAAACCAGGTACACGGTGGGAAAAAGATGAAGCATATAGTGCATCCTACTCTCTAATCCCAGTATGGTTTTCTTCCATAATTGCAGCAAAACTGTTGGTTTCTTCCAAAGAAAGACAGAATTTGCATCACTTGACAAGCAAAACTGCACTGAAATGAACAGACACCAACCTCCTTGTGGAGTAGTTCTGTAATCTCACCAGTCTAACTTCATGGGCTGCTGTTGATGCTTATCCCTAAACAATCTTTGATCATCACTGAAGACTTGAGAAAGTAGGTCTACGCTGACTTTATCCAACAAAGGCTTTATTCTTCTTACAGTGTCTCTATTTAAGTTAAAACTGTCTGCGTGGGTGTCTGCCCAATTCTAGAAATAGACTTAGCCCTAATCATTGAGCTTATGTGATTTGGAAACAGTGAGTGGTATCCTGAAGTAGAATGAAAATTTGGGCATGAAGTTACCAGTGGATAGACATCTGTTAACTGCCCTCCATTCTCAGAGTCTGTAGCTTGATCTGAAATGATGATCTAACACGATCTAAAATGGCAGCAAAGTAGGGGCAATGTAACAGCCAGAATTAGCTGCGAGTCATGCCTCCTTCCTCAGCGTTTAGCCACCCTGTCTGAGCTGACAGATGATTACTGACCTTTTGAATGCTCCTAGTGGGAGCACTGAGTGGGAACTCAGGCAAGTTCCTTTAAATCATCTGCTACACTTCCTACTAAAAAAAAGAGCAGGAGCGCTCACACAGTTGTTAGAACAAAAGATCAAGTCTGTCACTTCCTTTCCTTCTCAGCCTTTAATGCATCTGTGACCATGCCACACACTGTCCAGACCTAAAAAGGCTCCAGTGACAAATCATGTTGTATTTTATACCCTCACAGAGACAGCCCTTCTTGGGAAGGTCAGGGGAAGCACCAGAACATTGTCCAGAAAGCTGAAGAGTCTTGCCCACTTGGCAAATCTAGACCTGTGCTAAATGAGCTGTGCTATTCTTTCATGTGAGTGTTACAGGCAAAGTTTCATGCAGCTGCTGTATGAATTATATTAATACTGCCAGTATGTATTGCTATCCCATCATCTACAGAACAAACAAAATAAAGACTGCATTTTATAAATGCTCTCCAGCAGCACAGAAAGGATACAACTTGTGGTAAAGAGCCAGGCTGAAGTTTGCACAGTTCAATCAGGAGCGTTGTGTACATGACTTCAATGTGCGGTGGAGATGGAAGTTGAAACAATTCTGCAAATATTACCTGTAGCAGAGGAAGGCACAGAATCACAGCACAGTCCAGCGTGGCCTGCACAACCCTCATCTTCACAATAGCAGCCAATCTTAAACAATTACATACCCCAAAAGGCCCATATTATTCTATCAAATGCATGTTCCAGGAAAAAGAGAGAAAAACTTAGAAAGGTAGTGGTAACCCTATGCTGTACTGATACAGTCCACTCTGAATGCCCTTACCATTTCATATTAACACAACACCAGCATTATACACATCTATTATGTCTAACAAATACACCACTTAACTGTAGAAATGGGCATAGTTACAATATGACCTATTGCAGTGCTACCACATGATCTGAGAAAAGCAGAAATCATCTGATCCTGTTAATAAATATTAAATATATTAAATGAAGCCTAAGCATTTAGTATGATAGACTATTTGCATTAAAGCTACATCTATATCTTTTCCACCATCTCCTCTCTTCTCCTATATAAAAACTTATAAAGCCACAACTTTCAACTGAAAATTACAACCAGCATTTCATACAACAAATACCTCCTCAGTTGGCCTGAGGCAGAGGATCCTTCTAAAAAAACTGAAAAAAATCCTGCAATTGGCAGAATTTGCCAACAGGCAAAGGATGCTTTTATTTTCCACGTTTGCCTATAACAACAGTGTGTCAATCTGTAAGGGCTATGAAAAGATGGTCATTGTACAGCGTTCATCTCTGAATTTCTGTTTATTTTGTGTGCCATTCTCAAACAGATTTAAATTACACCAAAGGAAACAGGAAACTTTGATTCATTAATATTGGTCAATTTCCTCTTCAACTTTAAACTTCTGAATAAACACAGAAGAATTGACGCTTAAATGAGTAAGCTTTAGAAAATCTTCTTACTAGGTGTAAGAAATCAACATCCATTTACAGACTCCACAAACAGCACATGAAAACACATTGTCTATTATTATTAACTTATTATTCTAAGGAAGGACTTGAAAGCATGAAGAGACCATAAAGAGCTGGAGAATCCTTCCGTGGCAGTATAGTCTAGACATACTGTTAAGACAAATATGGCAAAAAGGGGGACCCTGTTAGGTAGAAAACTGCTCCTTTTGTCAAGACAGGTAGTAACAACTGGATGATCAGTCATTACCTGTTTTAGATAGTGCACAAAACTGTATTTGTGGTATTCATCACATGTTCATTATCAAACGTTCAGATTAAGTCTTTCAAACTGGCATACCATACTTTGTGAAAATAACAAGGCCACAAGATCAGGACACTGATGATCTGAATGCCTGAACTCTCTTGAGAGTAAGTTGTACCTAAAGCTGTAGCAGCACAACAGGGCATAGCAGTCCAAGAACCCAGTAACGCTTCTGAGACATTCTTGGTTTGCAGATACCAGAAATACCCGTGTACGCGTCTATAAGAAGCTACTGAGAGAAAGGTGCCACACTTCAGTGTTTCACATAGATTCCAGGCACCATGGAACATTCTGTGCTTGGCTTGACAAACTATGACATGGAGCCTTAGGGACCTCAAAACTAGGCATCCTTGGGAAGGTACTGACAACCACTTTCAGGCTACATTTACTTCTGCCTAACTGTTATATTCTGAACCTTAACTTCCCTTTATTTTATTATTTCTACAGTTCTGTGACTTAATGCAAAAGTTAGTGAAATTTCACAGATTAAACCGTTAAACTGTTGTTGAAAGCCACTTATCACCAACTTGACTGTTATGAGAGACCTTACAAGGGAGCAGTAGTAAGCAGAATGAACAGAAGCCTGAAAGAAGCATATTAAGCCTTAAAAACTCTGGAGCTTCATTAAAAGTAAGCATAGACAAATAACGAATTTAATATTCTAAAATAATGCAAAACTGCAAGAAAAAGGAAATTATTACAGTAATAGTCAAAGAATTTGTACACCAATTTTGCACTTCTTTGCAGTAATTTCATCTACACAAACCTTTGCTATTTTCAAATCCTACAAGTTCCTGAATCAAAGAATTTCCAGGGACTTTACGTAACTTATTCCGCCAGGAACTGTGGTAACTATTTGTTGGCACTAATGTACAGCTGACCATAAAGCTCACAGCCATATAGCCATATGCAGCACCTGAAGATATGACCACTGAAGATACTTCAATGTTAAGGCAGAAAATTACTGTTAATTTTAAGATTCCTCTGTTCTGAATTCAGAGTATAAAAAGAATAAGCAGACAAAAGGTAATGTAACTTTTACAGCACTCAGAATATTTGTCATTTTGGTGCAAAAGGAATTGCCAATCCCACTTATATTAAGATAAATCTTCTACATAAGATTATTTCTTGTCATAATTAGCTCTCAAATTCGTACTTATAGTTACTTCTTCATAAAGCCTTTATATAAGTTGCCATTATTACAGAAATCTCTTAATCCGTTTCAATTTTTGATAGAAATTAACAAAGATTTATACAGCTCTGCATCTTGAAAACAGATTCTTGAAAGGAGGTACTGAAAGAAAACCTATGCTGCTCTTCCAATATACATTACAGGTATTTAAAATTCTCTAATGTGGAAGATGACCCAGAGAAAACACACTGGTATTTCACTGCAAGCTCTTTTCAGGGCCAGTAGAACAAAATCATTTAGAAGGCTCAAACATAAAATCATGCCGAACGGCTAATTCTGTCTGGAGATCATCTAGTCAAAAGCCCCCTGCATAAGGCAGGGTCACCTACAGCAGGTTGTTCAGGGCTGTGTCCTGTTAGGTTTTGAACTTCTCTGGGCAAACTCTTCTAGTGTTTAATCACTTTTCAGTATAAAAAGATTTTCTTATGTTTAAATGGAGTTTCCCATATATCAATTTGTGTTCATTTCCTCTTGTACTTTAATTCAATTTTTTTTAAACTAAAAGTGACTCAGACATAGCCATCTCCTCTTAGACTGTGTGACACATTAGAAGCATCATATGTAAAAGTTTAGAATTTCTGAGAAATGCCACAACCTGGATTACTGCACCAAGAAATTTTGATACTTGACCAAAGCTCCCATGCACCCAGTTAAAACAACAACAAAAAGACTAAAACTAATACACAATTGTACATAACCTGCTCATTTAAATGACATTGGTTGAATTTAGCAAGGTTCTGGCTGACTCCCAAATCAAACTGTAATTTAATGGACATAGGTCCACTGGAACTAACGGCGCCATATTACTGGTGAAATAACGGAGCTACAGAAGAAGTTGTCTATAAAAGGTGTACCTCTACTATGTGGTAGTTCAAGGGGATCTTGTTATTTCCTGGATAGCTCAGCAGCTGTGCAGCACTGCAAAACCACAGATACATTCAGTTCAGAACATAATACAGCAAATACGATGTAAAGGTCAAGTAACAAAGTTACAGAAAATGCTTAATTCTGGGCAAGAGTTCACATAAAAGCAGCACACACAAATGAACAATCCTTCCAAAGTCTGTCCATCAATCCATAGAACACTTAAGACAGAAAAAGCACAAGAATACACCAACATTGCTTAAACCACATGTCGTTACAAACCATGATTTGTAATGACATATTTTATCTCTATAGTGTTCAAGTGATGCAACAACATACTGCTACACAAAATAGTTTTGCATAAATAGTCATGGTGATCTGTAATTCTGGCATGCATATATGAAAAGGAAAAAACCCCCAAACAACAGATGTTCAGAATTACTTGGAAGCACAATTAAACTAATGGGTTACATAAGAAACTCTCAGGCTTCAAATCCTTCATCTTTTAATCAGCTTGTTATCACCTATCATTATTACAAAGCAAACAACTGCTAGCTCCTTGATTTTACTTCTACCTCTCTGGCAAACCTTGTATCTCCCTCTAGTCTTCTACCTTTCTCTGAGAATTAACTAAGACTATCCCAGTAACTTCAATCATCCTGAATTTTTAGTTTCTGCTCAATCAAACAGCTGCAACCAAAAAACTTTATCACATGCCATCACCAAAAACATTGTTTCTGCCCATTTTTTTGCATACTATACAAAGTTCAGTGGTCTTCAGTTGGAAGCATGAGAGTCAATGACCTGTGGCAAACTGTCTTGGTTATCAATTACCCACATCAGATATTGCTTCGGCAGAAATGAAGTGCCCTGACTGCTTCCCGGCATGGCTGAATTCAAACTAATGAAATCTGCTGGCCCTGCAGTGACTCTCCAGAGCGAACTCAATAACCTCTGCCATGTAACCTCAAAGAGAAGAGTGCAATATGGAAGAGTAGGAAGCAGAAGTGTGTTCATAAGCACCAGTGCACATTCAGCTGCAGATCAACCAGCTCAAGGCTCACTGTGCCCCAGCAAATCAGCTGGGATTCCCAGAAGCATAACATAACCACACTCTCCATAATGCTCCCAGGAAATGTGTCTGCATATTTTTTGCGGCACTTCCTGTATTATCAAGGAATTCTCTTCCCAAGTAGCTACTGTCCCCCTGGATCATACAGACGCTCCGTTATCTGGATATTACAGACCCACAGTATTCCAGACAACAATTTTAATATGGTTAAGTGTAGTAAATCAAGTTCATCAAATGCTCTAGAAAATGTTAGACATGAGCTCAAGATTAGACCAGTGCAGGACTCTGCATATCCCTGATGGCACCAAAGCCATGGTAGCATATAAAAAAGCACCAGGGCCCTGTAGTGCTAAGCTCTTCCTACCAAGTCTTTCTCTCTTTCCAGTGGGATTTGATGATGCAGTGAAGGTTCTCTTCTATTACAAATCGTTCAACAGAGTGGCTGCCAGGCATGACAGGGCCCTGGTAAAAAAGAATTAAGACTCATGAAAGATCACTGCTAATGCAGTGATGCTACACATAGCAAGCTATCCTACATACATTTACAGGTGGAAAAAAAAATAGTCCAACTTCCACATAAACACCGTGACGTCTCAGCTGCCCTGTATCTTTCAGGACTGATAAGCTGGTGTGACACAGTTCCACAAAAATCTGAGATCGATGTTTAAAACAAAATAAATACTAGGACTCATTACAAAAAGAAATGGGAACAAAATTAGAGAACGTGATTATAAGTTCATGGAGCACCCACTTCTTCCTTTGCTCTGTGGAGCCATCAGGCAGGCTACCACCATGCAGCCTGGAAAAAAATCACAGTTGAGCTGGAATATGATAAAGAAACAAAGCCAGGAATGGCCAGGATAGAACAGGAAGAATACACAGTCATGGTCTCATTCATTGCAAAGAACAGGGGCCAATAAATGAAGGTAAAAGACAGCAGACTTAAAGGAAAGGGAGGTGTAAAAGCACTTGGGGAAAGCAGTATATATTCTTTTCCTATCCCTGTAGACTTTTGTCAATATATTTGCTGTTAACCAATGCTGAGGCAGACCGTTGAGATAGATGGATTTTTCACCAACCCCAATTAAGCACTCCTTTGTTCCACAATATGCATCAACAAATTTTAACAGAGCAGCAAACAACAGTCTTTAAACATTACAATAAATACCTAGCCTGGAAAAAGATTCAAGGCATCAACTTCATGGAGGGAAAATCTAACTGTGAATGTAGTTTTACTAGAGACATTAGAGAATTCAATCAACATTGTCATTCTAAATGAAAGGATCACAACATCTCACTCCCTAAGTTCTGATCCTCACAGATTTGCTTTGTACAGTAACTTGGTCACCTAGTTCATTTAAGTAGACATACCAAAGCAGAACTGCTGCTAGTCTTCAAACCACTCACTAGCCTGGGAAAGGTGACATAACATTTTCACCAATATTCCCTCAGGCACCTAACTGTGAAATCTGCTCACCATCCCCTTGTCATCGGGATTTGAGCAGCTGCAGTGCCCATCATGGGGGTGGTATTTTTAAATAATTGTTTGACTTTAAACAAGACCTGAAACACATTCAGGAGTAGGAGCAACAGGAACATGCCGGTTTGAACATCCCAAGGATATTCAAAGTTCTCAAGAGCTATTGTAACTGGCCTGGAGGAGAAGGGGAAGGTGAAGGAAGGTGTGGCCCCCGTAGACTGGCTCTCTGGGAAGAAAAGGTAAAAAGTGTAGTTATTAACAGTTTCCGAGAGATGGCTCCCAAAGTACAGAGATGACAGCAATGATGAGAACAAATACCAGATTAGTGTCATAGCTGGTCATGCTATCATATCATAAGCCGCTGTTAGAAAGTACAGCACAGTGACCACCTCGACCCAGCTCCCAGAGGTGATAAAGAGCACAACAGGGAACAGATACAGCAAGTAAGGTGTTCCATGACAGAACTCTGAGAAGAACAACTTTGAGAGCAAATAAATCAACACTGTGACCAGCGACTATCAAACTAATACAATGAATGCTGGTAACAAATTTGTTCTAATACCCTCAAGTCAGCTTTATCATTATCTCAACCCATCGTGCCGCACGTTGGGGGTGAAAAAGGACTGTTGTAGTTTAACCCAGGAGGTAGGTAAAACCACAGCCGCTTGCTCACCCTCTGTCCCTGCAGCGGGATGGGGGAGAGAATTGGAAAAAAAGGGTTAGAACTTGTGGGTTGAGATAAGAGACTTTAATAGCATAGGAAAGAAAAAGAATACTAATGATAATAAGGACAGTAATAATGATAGAAGAACATACAAAACAAGCGATGCACAGCTCACCGCCTGCTGGGGGAAGCTGAAAATTCTTCCATGGCCTAGCCACAACTAAAAACATCAGTGTGCTATCAACACTATTTTCATCCCAAATCCAAAACACAGCACTATGCCAGCTATCAGGAAGAAAATTAACTCTATCCCAAGCAAAAACAGAACACCCCTACAGCAATTACGTACCTCAGGGTCATCTGTGTAGTCAAACATCCTAAAAATAACCCTTGGCATTGGGTACACTGAATCTTCCGTGTGAGGTGGAGGAGTGAACGGAGGCAGATTGTGTTGCAGTGCTTCACAAAGAATGCTGTCAAAAGCCAAGTAGGGCCTCAGAATGTGTCGTTCTTGCCAGCGGTCTTTTTTCAACTTCTGAATCTGAGACCAAAGGCAGTCCAAATACTGAAGGAAAAAGGTGAGAAACATTGTATGTGATGAACTTGGTAACAAAGCTGGCAGCTCCTTGAACTATAAGAAATGTATTTCTTAAATTCCATATTATTCCATTCAAAAAACCTGTGAAGTTTCTTAAAGTGCTTATTACAGAATCTGATTCAGTAAACCAAGAAATAATCTAAGAACACCAGAGCTGCTCCTAATTCCACACAACATTTTGTCAGTACAATTTTAACTGCTGGCAGGTTTTTAAACACCAGCAGGCAGCCCAAGCATGACGGCCATTCTTTGAATCTGCCAGCGAAACTAAAGCAGAGAACATTACTTCAGTCACCCTTCATTGGTGGTATTAAAACAGACATAATATCAACATTAAAATTGGAAAGACATTCTGTAGTACTGCCATGCTGTTCCCAGAGCAATCAAAACTACCAGCTGCTGCATATTCAAGACAAATACGATATTATCAAATATTAAATACCTTTGCCATGGTTTTCAACACAACTCTGAGCCCCAGCATTCTCCCAGAGATGGCACAGACACCTATGTAACTGGCAGCAAGCTTCTTTTGCTTAATTACTCCCATGCCAAAAGCAGTCCAAGAACTCTGGGGGCCTGTGGCCTTACTGAACGCGAGTCTCAAGTTATAACTGGTGCAAGAAATGTCTTTACGTGCACATGCTTTGCATTTACTGAAATTATCACACTACAAAATGGGAATGAAACTAGTAATAGGGAGCACCTGAAGTGAACAGTCATGTTTACGGTATTCTGGGTAACACGTGATCTCAAACACACTCTGATAATCTCTATTCTACTGAACTAAATAAGGAAATTCAGACATTGGGCGGGCAGAATACTCACATTGACAAAGCAATCATAATCAGACAGCCTACCTCTCCAAATTGCAATTAACAAGACAACTGTTAAGACCATGATTTAATCAGAACAGTGAACAAAACGTAAGAGGGCCATGTTTCAAAACTTCGCAGAAGATCAATTTAGATCTCACTTTCCAGCTAAGTTTGTCTTCAAACTTAGGGGAAAGAAAAAAAATCCAAGAATATCCAAAAAGGCAAACTCCACGCCAAACTAGCCCGATGCCACCTCTCCCCTCCTATATTCTTGGCTTAATTGTGAAAGATGGCACAGTAACTATTGCATACAGTTTCTATGTATTTGTTTAGCACTTCCTAGAGCTGAGAAAGCAAAGCCACTACAAAGGTTTCTTTCTCACAGAGGGAAAATACTAAGGGGTAAGGTATTACATTCTGCTTCTCACAAAGGTCCTTTTAACATGAAGCCCTATATCTGCAATTCCAAAACAAATACTACAATTTACAACCATTCCTCACTTCATAACATTTCCTCAGGGGCCTGTCAGTAAACAACAAAACACTCTCCTACTCACCCCATACAACCTTGTATTTAAGCTCAAGCCTTAGAAGAAAATTCCTCACATAGAACTTGTTAGAATTAATGACAAACAGGAGACAATTCAAAGCATTAATACTCCTAGATGTGCTTTTTAATTTCACAATAGAAGAACACCTTAGTAAAATACTGTTTTTGCAAACCTTCTGAAAGAATGCAATGTAAACTCCACTCACCTCTTCTTGTGGATGTGGTTTATCAGCGGTCCAAACTTGCAGCATGGGTACGTGAATCTTCTGGCGGCGTCTGTTTACACAGGAAAGAAAATCTGACTTTTAAAAGACTAATTTAGGGCAGCAATTTTTTCTTATTGCGAGTGTACTATTTGATCTCCTCAGCTGATGAAGCCTGGTTTGTGACTACTTAAAATAGCTCTATTATCATACCTTCACAACAATGTTAACTTGAAGCACCTAGACAGAAAGCAGTCACACGGCAGTGCACTAAAGCAACAACCTATCAGTATTCACAGCACACTTAAAACTGCAGCTGCTCCAGCATGAGCAGTACAAGACCTTCAACGTACCCTGGAACCAGACAAGACAATAAAACTTTTCAAATTCAAAAAAATCTCTCCACCTATTCTATTTTCAGGGTTCCCCCTCCAACCCAAATGGTTCAGATCTAAGACTTCAGAATACTTTTAAGTGAGCAATAATCCCCACTATTAATTCATACTTGAATAGATAAGCATATTTTTAATGGGTTACAACTTACTTCAAATAGCTTTCTGTCTGAGACAAGAGACGATCCATTTCAGCATCCTTTTTCTCATATAACTCCTTTCCAACCCAGGGCAAAGATGACAGAAATGCAAACATATACCAGTCACATCGTACCTATGGGCAAGAAATATACTGAAATCTAAGTATACAAGTAAGCTCCAAAAGATTTCATACACACACACCATTTTAAATTAAATTAAAACATTATCAAAATCATTATTTTGTGAGGATGTAAAGACCAGCAGCTAAAGACTGGATTGGCAAGCCATTGAAAAAAAAAAATTATTGCTTGAAATGTATTAACTTGAACCATGACAAGCAGACTTTAAAAAATGGTATCACTTTCACAGTCCTTCAGATTACCAATACAGAGCAAGCCAGGCCCTATGCAATTGCCAAAGTAAAGTAAAACGAATTCACTTCAGCTACCTCACTATAAAAGACCATCTGTATGCATTTATTTTCTAACTGCCACAGGCTCCTTTTACTCATATTAAGGAAACTGCACAACAGTCCATTTAGTTTGCTACCTCCAAAACTTCCCTGCTCTAAGCATAAACACAGAAGCAATGGTACTGAAAAATTGTGAAAACAGCACTAGAAGAGCCTACAGATCTTTTGCTTACTTGGGGTACATCTTCCTCCTGTGTCACACTCACAAAGTTCTCAAACATAGCTACCATTGAAGGTGCAGCTATTACGTGACAATTCACAAGATCAGACAGAAAACGAACCTAAAAAAGACCAAATAAATTGTTTTAAATAAATACTTTTTAAACTGACTGCACAAGAACAAATAAACATTACTTAAACAACTAACACAAACCATCAATAGAAGTACAATATTCATTCAGTACTATGAAGCCAGAACTACTGCACACTGTACAGACCCACCTTTCAACTGTAGAAAACAAGTACCATAAGCACTGCCTAGTATATTGTTCATTACAATGTCTGTAGACTGTTTCACTGCAGTAACATTGCAAGGATATTTCTAATTAAGGAAGGGTGGGAAACACCACTATGCATTCAAAGATAGGCAAACTGATATTACATAAAAAACACCCTTGTGTTTCTATATACTGTAAATGCTATCAGATCACTAACATTACAGATGTGAAGGAAAAAACCTTCTAAAAAGCTGAAGATGGATTGAGTCATAGCTTCATGAGTCCAGATGTGCATCAGGAAACAGCAGTGCTGAATCTGTATGCCATTATACACGATTCATTTCTGTAATTATTTATTCATAAATACAGATAGTTACACAGAGAAAGCCTATGCAAAAACTGCTGACATTTTCAGGTTTCAGGAAGTGGGCTTCAAAAGCTGGGGCACTGGACTTCTGAATCAGACACCGCTGAAGTCCTAATACCTTTTTGCAGACAAAATCTATAAGCAGCAAGAGCTGAGCAAATGGTTTCAAAGACAGACAGCACTTAAAACTGCCTGCTTGATCTCCATCCCCCATTAGCAGAATGAAAACACAGGCCTCATAACAGCCATCAAATGTAGCTTTTAAGAACCAGACTGTTCATTTTCTTCTCAGGTTTTTTTTTTTTCTGTGGGATCCACAAGAACATCATACACTTCTGAACACAATAAAAGTGCATGACTTTCATCTGTCTTTTACATTTTACTGTAGAACAGGTAGGGGGAGGAGCACCTCTGTGTGTTTACTCCAAATTAATTTGTCACTGGGAAAACATACACTTGGAAGTCAATTTTGCAACTATAATATGATTTCTCTTCCCTGAGGAAGGAAATACTTTTCACATAATAGATATTTCCTCTTGCACTGCACGTTGATGCCAGAGAGACTAATACACACTGAAAGGCCCTGGTGTTCTGGAAGAAAAAGAATGAGGAAAAGTTTAAAACAAACAAACAAAAAAACACTTACTAAATGCACAGCTTCGTTATACATGTTGACTTTCAGACATTCTTTAAGCTGTCGAATCATGGCTTCTACGAACTCCCCACCAAAATTGTAGTTCCTGGCGTTCAGCAACCCAACTAGTGTCGTGTAAACAGTAAGCTTCTCTGGTAACAGACGTGCACTGACACAGAAAAAGAAACATGGTATTAGTTGTTTATTCATGATGTGCCAACTGGCAACTGTATAGCATCTTAGAATCTGCTATTGTAAGTTAAACTTGCCTCATGAGGAAATAAGCGTTAGCATGACTTTACAGTTCTATGCTGTGGTTAGTATTTTACAGACAATTTTTTTTTTAACTACAGTAATTTAGAAAGGCAGGCACCACTTTCAAGTACATTTAAGGTATTTGCTTTTTATGTACCTCCAATTGCTGAGTATTCCAAAGGATTAGCCAAGTAACGTAAGTGACAGAATTTATGCAAGTATGTACGAAATTGTTTTAAGTTTGTAATTTAGAAATAATTTTATTATACAGCATCAGCAAGATTACGCAAGAGGTGTACATATTTTACACTATTAATTTTGATTACAAGTTTCTCAAGTCAAAGTAGCTGATTTTAAGCACAGCATAGGGAAGGCCAGGTCCTACTGTAAAGAATTTTCTTCAACCACTTCTGTGTGCATGTAAGCTAACCCTGTACTTTCAGAAGTGTTCTACTGCTATAGGAAAAAAATATACTATTTGCCTTATATTAACAAGCATTGCTGCCAAATAGATTTAAAGTATCTGCAAAACCATAGCATAGGCTAGGGCTGGAACACTCTCCCTCTTCACCACACCCCTCCTCCATACTTCTCATACCTACTACTACAGATCCTGCACAACCCCTCCCTCAGACACCGCTCAGTGACCCTGACACTTTGCTAGGGAGAGGAAAGAGAGCTGTTGGCCACTGGCGAGCCTGCTTGCAGCTCTTTGTGTTCCCAGCTCCCCTCCTCTAGCAACTGGTCTTACAAAGACATAAGCATCTCATTGCCAGGGAAGAGGAACAGGCAATGAGAAAACAGCACAGATCATAAGTCTTAGCAGCCAATAGCTTCAGTGCTCTTAAGCAGCTCATTAGGAAACAGGGTACTGCCCAGCATCACTGTGTTCTCATTGCTACTGAAGAGCAGCTCTGAGGTTTCCTCAATCTGCTTTGAGCCTTTGTACACATTTCAAGTCAAAGTAATGTAAAGAGGTATTTTCCTTGAATTATACCTAGTATGAAATAAGCTTATTCCTCTCTTTCGTTTCTAGTAAAACAAACTCTAAGCTGTAACAGCACTCAGGAACTGAAGCTATTCTTAGCATTTAATCTACCTTAAACACTCAAACATATGCACAAAGAAAGCAGCTCCCATATTCCCAGAACTCCTGCATACATACACAGTACATAGTATTCTTAGTATCTTGCTTTTGTAATTTGGTAGATCAGCTTCCAAAACACCAGCTAGGCCCTCCAAGTTGCTCTCCAAAGACGAATTACTCTAAAATAAAAAATACAACAAAAAGTTTCATCATCAACCAGGCAGTACGAACCAGACCCTGACTCTCATGCGGAAGACACGGAAGTTGGGCGAGAGTGTCCTTTTATATCACTTCCTTTTTCAGAGCAATGATTCAGGTCCATTAGCAGTAAAGACTCACTCTCACTCATCTGAAAGAAGGGGCAGTTACTCCTCAGAAGAGCTGCACCTGATCACCCACCTTCCCAAAGAAACTCCAGTGCTCGCCTGGGATGCAAGATCTAACACTACCTTCAGGAGCATCCTGGTAAGGTCACTGAGCCTTGATTAATGACACAGCATGAAATTAAACATCTTCCCAACTTGCTTTTCAGTGCACCATCATTTTTGTCCTTATTGTTTTACTCCCCTTTCTATTAGGCTTAAATCCTGCCAGGACTTGGAACTCGTGGCGCAGGCAGACCAAGTTAACTCCTTCACATTCTTGGCAAGCTGGAACCAGCAACAGCATCTCTGCAGACGCAAAGTGATAACTATTCGCTGGCAGTTTATCATTGCTTGGAAGACACAACACCACTGTTTAAGTACTCTCCCATTTTAGCACGTGATTTTGCAAAAGCTGACAAGTTTCCAACGATCTCACTAAAAAAAAAAACAACACTTTCCTTTTTGGGTGGTTACTAGAGACAAGCCCTTAACACACAACACATAGAAAAAGGGGAAAAAAAACAACCCAAATTTAACTTTCTCGAGCTACCGGCCTGGAGGCGGCCCGCCTACCTTCTCTCCCACCCTGCAGATCAGCGACTC